TCGCTCTCCGTATTAACTTGTGTTGTAACAGCTTCGCGACACACCTTTGCAGTTTTTTCGTTGTTTGCTTTGTGTGTTTTACGGTTCAGTTTGGATGTACTATAACCCGTTCGATATTTACAATAAGAGAAATTTACCTAAATAGGACTAAAACATAATGACTTTTCCAATATAGGACGATATGTTTTTATTTTCCAATGTAGGACCTTTGGTCATTATAAAATAGTCATTATTCAAGTAAATGTCCATCATTACTGGACATTATTTCCCCACTAGGTCATTATTAAGTCCTATTTAGGGAATAAAAAAGTGTAAGTACTATATTGGAAAAGTCATTATATTTTAGTCCTATTTAGTGCAAATTTCACTTACAATAATGCATGCATATATTTTTACAATGTACATTCAACGTCATGTCGAATCGGATTTGTTTTGGATGTTGTCTTTTTTAGGTATGCTTTCTATTGACCAATAAGTAATATGGCCTTGTTCAATTTGTATAGATTAATTAATGCTTCATCTTTTAATTAAATATACGCAAGTTATGTTTGCATTTCACTTATTCTTTTATGTATATACCAGTAGTTTTTTTTATGTTTTACTCTAGCTTAGTCTTTTTTCTTCAAAAAAATACTACTCCCTCCGTTCTCAAAAACACTTCATCTTTCATTTTTTTCATTTCCAACAAAACACTTTCCCTTTCTATTAAAAAATCACTTTTACCCTTACTTTTTCATACCCTACCTATCACATCATATTTTTTCTCTAATAATAAATTCATCACATTTTACTTTTACTCACCACATCATGGGCAAAATTGGAAGTCAACTATAATTTTATACTTCCTTATTTGCTTTATAGTCAAAGCGGGAAGACTTTTTCCAAACGGAGGGAGTATTAGTTTTTTTAATGTTTACTCTAGTTTAGTTTGTTTTTCTTCAAAAAAATACTAGTAGTAAAATACTAGTTTTTTTAATGTTTTACTCTAATTTAGTTTCTTTTTAATTTCTTCAAACGATTGGCCTATTGCTTTCTTAACATTGAATTTGTTGATCATGGATTTGGACCGACAAAAGAGTCTACACCGTGGTTAGCCAAACTCAGCAACAATTCAATGCACATGCTCTCAATCTCTATGGTCAAGAATGGCATTGCATTTTTTTAATTAAAAGTTATCGTAGATATACAAAAATATATATCGAGTTAACTATTTGTAGCATTGAATTTTGCCTTCTCTGTGCATATATGTTAATGGATAGAATACAAATATATAGTCCAACGTCCAAGCTCCAACCCAAGAAGAATCTAGCAACTCAAGATGTGTAGGCCATCTTTTTTCTTTAATAAAATCAAATCAGACTATATCAAACCAGATCAGATAAAAAAAAGCTTTAAATATAATTACATCCGGATCAAATTAGAACTTATAACCACTCGGATCAGGTGAAGAGAACATGACTATAATCCACTTACCAAATTAGTTTAAGTGTGAGAGATAGTATTGAGAAGGGTTATATATATATCCGAGTTAGCTCCTTTATTACTTTATTTGCCTTAGTGTTTAATAGAGAGCAGAACTTGTCGTCTCCATTTGGTTATTGGTGATTACTGGAAGTTTTGATGCCACTATTGAAAGGTCCCATGATATAATTTCTCCCCAATTTGAGGTTTCTACCTAAATCGTGCGTTCTCTACTTTATTTATGCTGCGAATCACTTTGTGTTGGTGCTGCTGTTCTTTCGGAGCCCATCACACCTTGTCATTTGTCTCGTTTATTTGAGGAAAAGACTTCATTCGCTTCCGTTGTATCTCGTCCCTGCATCCCCCAACAAATGTCTTGCAGCTGTAATAAGACCATCTCCAATGGGATGCCTACAAGAGATGCTAGGAGGAGATAGAGTGTGAGATGTTGTTGGATGCTATTGTTGTAGGTGGGTGCTCATTATAGATGTCCAAGGAAGAAAAAGAGAGGGGATGCTTCACATAGCATCGGTGCTTGAGGGGGAAGGGTTTCCATGCATTTATTTCTTTAGTTTTGTTGGTCCAATGATTATGTGCCATATATATATTCAATTCTTTTTTTTGGCAATTTTCTTAAATAGCTCTCTTTTTAAATACTTTTCCAATGACTTTTTTTTGTAATTCCAATAAATATTTTAAGTAAATGTTTTTTTACAAATATCTGCAAATTAGAATTTTTTTTCTTAAAAAATGGATTTACATCCAAATGGGTCGTTTTTAGATTTTTTTTGATATTGATGTTGAACAAACTAGTTTTAAAATATAAAGAATAATTTTTTCTCAATATAATATGTTCAAGTTTTGTATAATTAATACTCCGTAACTTATTATATAACTAAATACTTGTAATTAACAAAAAATAAAATATAAATATATTTTAGTGGACCTACTATATTAATTGAATAGATATTTAGGCATCCAAATGAGATGCTACCATTGAAAGAATAAGATGTTGAGAGAGGTGCTAGAATAACACATTTATAGTGGAACCCACACTTGGACATCTAATAAGAGATGTTGCCATTGTGGATGCTCTAACCTACTTTTATCCCGTCCTAAATTTTATCAGCATCATTAAAAGAAACTTGCAGCTTTCAATTCCTTTGCTTAGTTTGCATATAAATGCATGTGGGATGTCTTGTTTAACACAAGGTGCAAGCTAAAGAAATTAATTACAACTCCCTCCGTCCCAAAAAGTCTTTCTTGTTTCATTTTTTGCGCATCTCATAAAACACTTCTATCCCGCCTTGAATGCCAAAAACAAAAAAAACTTTCAAAATAACTTCTACCCACAATAAAGAAAAAATGTTGTAAATTTTGGGCATTTTAAAGTGTTTTATAGGATGCGCAAAAAAATGAAACAGGAAAGACTTTTTGGGGGAGTATAACTTAAACAAAAAGTACGTATGAGCATGCAGAGTGACACGTGGTGCCAACTGCTAGCTACCAATTAATACGGTGGAGTATATATCAAAAGCTGGTCGTCTTTAATCTTAACAAGAGGTTTTGGTGGGTCATTTTCAATGCCTTCTTGATTTAACCTTTTTCTACTTTTAACTATGTATATTAATTTCCCAACTAACTTGAAATTAAACTATATCATCATCACCATCATCATCACATAATAAAACCGACCACCAACATTGAATTTTCTCCAAGTTAAAACAGCGTGAAATTTACTGTTGGAAAAAACTAAAATAGGAGTAAAACATTCACTATATACTAGAATAAAAGTTTCATATTTTTTTCTCAAAATAGAAAATAAAACGCATTTATCTTAACAATTATGACTAAATACATTTCCAAAAATATAGTAAAATGTTCATGTAAAGTGTCACATTATTGCAGTTTGAATTCATATAAAGGAAATAAAAACATGACTCTTATTTTGTTACTTTATCTATGTCCTCCTCCTATTTAGAGTGATTTTTTATTTGATTTTAATAAGCCTATTCGAGATACTCTACTACGGAGTAAAATATAATCAAAGAAATTTACCTAAATAAGACTAAAACATAATGACTTTCTGAATATAAGACCATATGTTTTTATTTCACAATGTAGGACCATTTATTATTATCCATTAGTCCTATATTGAAAAAATGACTTATATTTTAGTCCTATTTAATAGAAATTTCACTATAATCCAAAGCTTCTCATATGCTCCCTAGTAAAGTATAAAATCATTAAGCACTACTCCAACGTTCAGAAATATATTGCTCTTTTGTTTTTGCTGGTACAAATATATTGCTCTAGTTTGGCTGTTGTGATTACTTTGAACACAAATCAAATAAAATTTTAAATAATAGTTTTATATAACAAAATAATATTGTAAAATATGAAAATTTTATATGGCAAAATTATACTCCCTACGTCCGGAATTAAACTTTCCGATTTGTCTTTTCCTCATTTTTAGTGAGTGTTGATTCTCACATTGAAATGTCTAAAATACCCTTATATCTTACTGATATCCCCATCCCCACCCCAACCCACTGCCGTCCACCACCATCTCTGCCAAGCCCACCACCGCCCCACGAGAAGAAAAAGATCCGGTACAGATCTATTGGACCTAGCTCCTACCATCGCCGTCTGCTCTACAATTGCAACTAGCCCCACAGATCTAGGAGAAGAAGAAGAAAGAGGGACAACGTCAAGATTTGAGGTAAGACGAAAGAAGTAGAAGGAGGTTGAGGATGAGAAAAAGAATAAGAAAGAGAGAGAGAGAGAGATAAAAAAGAGGTAGAAGAAACAAAGGAGAAGAACAAAACCAAAATCAGGAGAAAGAAAAAGAAGGGGAGGGGGAAGAGAGAGAGAGAGAGAATAAGAGAGAAGAAAAAGAAAAAAGATGGGGGAGGGAATGGTCAAACGTGTGAGAGAAATGAAAAGGATAGGGGTGATTGAGTAGAAGAAATGGAGGAGAAGAAAGAAGGGTATTCTTGGAAGAGTGTTGATAAGATTGTAGAGTGGAAAGATTATTTCCAGAAGGAAAAAAAGATAGAGTGGGAAAATTATTTCTGAACGGAGAAAGTATTGTAAATCAACTCAATTATACTAAATTTTCCAATACAAGCAAACATACTACTACACATTTCTGCAATTTTTTACTAAACAAAGAATCACCAATATAATTACCACCTCGCCATCTTCAATTTCCAAAGTCAACGATGCAACGGTATATATTGTTAAAATTTTGTGACATTTTTAACAGAAATGTTTACTTATTATCTTTCACTCTGTTTGGAGGGAAAGTTCGACTTGACCTTGATGGAAGAACTTTGATGAATATTTGAGAAATGAATGCTGTACAGAGTATGTAGTTAAGTATTATCTCATCAAAGATAATACTGCATAATTTTTGTTAAATGTCAAGAACATGTTTAATGTGTGAGATTTGACCAAACTAGACCAAAATAAAAATATAACGATTGAATATAACAAAGTGGTGCCTAACGAACATTAGAACGTGAGATATAGCTATGCAAAATAAGCACATTTTTTTCGGAGTGGGGGTGGGGGGAGAGGAAAACACCATGAGATATAAAATGGAAACTCAAAGCTCGATATCTAAGGATGAGATTAGAGAAGTTGGCAAGTAATAAACCAAGTGAACAACTGGAAATGAGCGAAAGCACAAAAGAGAGCTAGGGTTGAACAAGTTACCCATCAAAGCCAAGCCAAAAAATTTGACAAAGAAAATGGACACATGGCACTGCAGTGGGGAATGTGTCCTACACTTTAATGGCATATTTCCTCAATGGGAAGTACATCTCCTTCTTCTTCTCTCTCTCAGTCTTCAAAGAGGCCTGGAGTAAATGAAGCAAGCAATGGATGTATGTCAAACATTCAGATGCTTTTGTATGTCTAAATAACAAAAACAGAAGAAGATGAGACTTGAAAGGATTACAGATCAATAGTCTGGACAGCACACAGACTGCTTAAACAAAATATAAATAAATTAAAGAATCGAAATGATATAATTTTTAGGTGTTCCCTCGTTGCGTGAGAAGGATAAATAAATTGGGAAAGAGGAGATATATCACTGCAAATTTCTTTTAGAAAAAACACTCCATACTAAAACAATACACACTAAAGTCATTTTTATAATGTTTTAGCTTCTGGTCATTGCCAATGTCTTAGCTTCAGGTAAATATTGAAGCTAAAAGCAGCACTTATATGAAGCTTTATGCAGTGAAAGCATCAAGGGTTTAACAAAAGAGCCTCGGTGGGGTTTGCGGGATGTGATGCCTGGTTTTCTGGTCCAAAAGAATATCTTCCATTTTGATTCTCAAGTAAAGTCTGCCCTACTTTTTGCCGAGTCTGGCGGGCTCCTAAACTTTGACTATATCAACGACACTAGAAGGTGACTTCACTGAGAACTGCCTAGAACAGGCACACAAGAGTGCTTACTAATTAATGAGGTAAAAGTACCTGGTGCTTGGTAAGACGCCTGCGGATGGCTCTAGTCTTCTTGGGACGGAGGTCAAGGGGCAAATACTTCTTATTTTTGTATGCTTCTCTTAGCATACTCTTCTGAGTCTGAGAGATTACTGTCAACACTTGTGCTATTGAAGTCCTAACCACCTTGCTGCATCCATTTTAAAGAGGCAAATGAAACTCATTGCATAGTTAAACAATATTACCTAGACACTAAATAGGCAAGGCACAAACACAGCACTAATCTATAAATCAATCATGATTACAATGTCAATAACAATTGGAAGGAATATCAAACACTTGAGTTGCACAGGACATAGACAAATTTGAAGGGGACAAGGATCGGAAAGAATTGTTTTCAAAATATCAATATAAAGGACAACAAGACCACACCCATTTAAAGATAAAATAAATATTTTACGAACAAAAACAAAATTTTAGATTATGCCATCTACATTAACTAATGCCATGAACTTCAGTGAATTATTTCTTAGGCTATCTGTCCTTTATGAATGAAAATTAATTAACTGATACTGAACAAAACTAAAAATAAGTAGTAATTGAGAAGTAGAAAGCTTTGAACTGAACTTAAATTACTGAATTAAATTGAAATGAACATGTGTTGAAAAGAAAATGATCCTAGAAAGTTAATGAACATTCTTAGCCATCAATGATTAGAATATTAGTAGTTGAAAGGAAAAAGAAAAGAAATTAAAATGGAAAATAGTCTTTCTTGTTTGGTTAGAGAGGAAAAGAAAACAAAAATGGATGGAAAAAAAACAAAAAGGTAAAATATACTAGGAAGAGGGAAAATCAAATTCTTCCATTTTGGTGAGGAAAATTAGAAAAATCCATTTTCTTTTCTTTTCCTTCCTAATACCTTGAACCAAACATAGTGTAAATTTTTTTCATTAGTTTAAAACCGATGATTTTTTTAAAAATATGGGACGACATAGGAACTTCCAAGTGAAATTTCCAAGGGCTGGTCCAAGCATGAAAACAGCACATTAAACCACAATGAAAACAGCAGAAACCACAATAAAAAAGGAATTTAAAAATATTGCAAAGCACGAGTAATTTCTTATATGAATCAAAAGCAATGGTAATTCATCAAGTGAACAAAACCTACAGGAAGCCGATTGACTCAACATTCAATTCATACAATGGAGTAACGTAAATAGAGAGACTTCACAGATAACCGCGAATGAGAGAATAGATTGAATAGAGAGCATACATTTTGGAGAGCTTGTTGGGAGCACCTCCGGTGACCTTGGCGACGCGGAGGAGGGCGAGCTCCGCCTTGAGATCCTTCAACTGAGCAAGCAGCTCCGCCTTGCTCTTGTTCCTCAGCTCATGGACCTTGATCCTCGCTGCATTTTTCGTGTAAAACCACAAAAGGAAAGGAGAAAATCAGATCGAAATTGGAAGCGATAGGATTCAACGACCGATCGAGTCGAAGCTGGAAGGTTACTCACCCATTGCTGCTTCTGCAATCCTGCTCCGGTTTCCTGCAAATGATGCTCGTCCTCCTGTGAAACCCTAGTCTGTTTTTCTTTATATATACGGATTATCAAACACGGCCCTATAATTTGGGCTCCATTGGGGACTATAAGCCCATCTCATCTCTTAAAAAGACGTCAGGTCCGTTGTGTCAAAGTAAAATCTGCCAAATTGCACCTTTGATACTGGGTCTAACGTTTTCAAAACGTCCTTTGTGTCGTTGAAAGATTTCTTTTTTTCTTTTTTCAAGTACGTCATTGAAAAAAATAAGCAACGATAGCCACATGAGGGAATCGCTAACGGGCCGTTTATATGTCACATGTTTTACTTCAATCTAAAATTTAGAATTTAGAAGATAAGCTATAGTAGACTAAAAGACATGTATATATAAATGTGTCACACTTCATGTGACATTTGATTTGAATGTCATAGCATGACTCAAGTCTCTATTAATAATATTGATAATTCTTACTCTCCTAAATTCTCCTACCCCTGCATCTCTACCAACCTCTTGTCCCCCCTCCGAGCTCCTCCCAGTTCTTTGATTGACTATTGGGACCACTGTGGAGAGGGGAAGGGTATGAACCATCAATTTTATGAACGAAACTCTTTAATAAGCCTGAGTCATGCTATGACATTGCGTGCAATATCGCTTGAAACACGGCATGACTACAAACATACAAATGACATGGGGTATAAAGTTGTTACCGTTGAAGCTAATANCGGGGCGGGGTGGGGGGGTTTATCGGGGGGGTTAGGGGGGTAGGAACCGTCAATTTTACGAACGGGGCACCGGAGCGCCCCCGGGTCATTCCATGACATTGGTTCCCAATGTCATGGGAACCAAGCCCTTAAAAGTCTTTATAGCTACATACTTTCACATGCTATAATTCGAGTTGCTATTATAGTCCTATATATACACTGTGTCAACTAAATACACTCTGTGATGCATATTTATATGTAGATTTATTGTTTAAAAAAGTTATACAATAAAAAACATTATATATTTATAAGTTTTTAAATCTATCCACCATTTATATCATTTTATTACTTTTCAAAAAGTTGTATAAATTTTAGCTTTAATTTTAAAACGTTGGCCTTTGTTTTTTTCATTAACCAAAATAAATTTCCTTATTCTTACTTTACTTTGTATAAAATTAAACACTTTCGAAGTATTATGAAGTATACCAGTATGCATTTCACCATCAATTTTCTTAATCTACACAATTATTTTATTATTTTATAAAGAAAGTTGTATATGTTTTATTTTACTCCGGGGTATTAAACAAAGCTTTACATAAACTTATAAAACTACAGACCATTTTTTCCTTTTATTACTTTTAAAAAACAAAGGTTTATATAAATTTAAAAAATGTGGATCATATATAACACGTACCATAATTTATTAGAAAATTAAAATAGATAAAATTATATTTTAACTATAAATACGATTTTATCAAAATGCTAAAAAATTTTCAGTGCATGAGAGAGTTCATGCAAAGCACACAATTAAAAATAATTTTTTTTAAAAGCATTAAAAATAATCTAAAAATGATGAAATGAAATTATTAATGTGTAACGTAAGTGTAGTTTTTCAATGAGGTGTAATAGTCCTCATCACATCTGAGCCTAAATACATTGAGCCTCACACTTATTATTATTATTATTATTATTATTATTATTATTATTATTATTATTATTATTATTATTATTATTATTATTATTACTACTACTACTACTACTACTACTACTACTACTACTACTACTACTACTATTATTATTACTATTATTAGTTTTCTTATACTCCTCTGTCACTAAATGTTTATCACATTTCTAAAAAAGGGGCAAAATATTGGTATAAAAATAAAAAATAAAATTTACATGTTTAAAAACTACATTAAAAATTCTTTAACATAAAATGTATCAAGAATATTTTATTTTATCAAATAATCAATGAAAACGTACAGGTAAACAAAAATTCTCGTGATTGTTGAAAAAACAAATGTGGCAAACATTTTGGGACGGAAGAAGTAATAAAAAATGGGAAAGCATGAGCTTTGCAATATCCAAATCCCATTGGGGCTTCTGAAAGAACTGCATTGCAGATGGAAATGAAGTTTCTTGGCAAAGAAAGGTATGAAGTGAGAAGTTTAACCAATGAAACATTATCATCATTTTTCACCTCAGTTGGTTGATGCTCAACAACATCAACATCTTCATTTCTTCAACGAAAAACGGGCATTCCCGAAACCACACCGATGTCCAATGAACTAGAACCGATACTTCAAACTGAACACGAGAACCCAGCCGAACGAATCTCGTTGTGGTAGAGCTTAGTCAAATCCAACTTCAAAATCCAAACTCCTCTGCAACATCAGCACTATAAACATGGGATCATAAATATACTTGCAGACAGCAAGCAAGTGATCACAACAACAAAGGGTGTCTTTCATTGAATATTAATATAAAAATGGTTTCATTACATTTAACTTTCGAATTACCTTTAAAATATTATTACGAAGTATAGTGTATTAATATGTCATGCAACTTTTATTTTTATATCAAATGATGATCACAAAAACCTCCAAAATACCTTCAAACTTTTATTTAATTGATGATCAAAGTCCGTACAGTTTAACAAAAAAACAAACTAGGTGTTCTTTAGAGTGTTCTTTTAGATTGATGGCTTTCAAATTGTAATAGAACTGAATGTTAACGGAGTATAATTTTAATTTTAAAGTGCTAAATTGATTTGAAATTAAGAAATATGAGCGGTACAAACAATTTTCTTATTGACAACATTTGTACAGGGTATGTGCTATTCATTTTTCGTTTTCATACCCTGTACAAATGTTGTCAGTAAGAAAATTGTTTGTACAGCTCATATTTTTTTCCACTCAATTCTGTATCATTTACAACTACACAATTTCATTTTTTTAATAACGGTATCAAAATCAACATGCATAAGAAAATTTTAAAATGACTGAAGAACATACAAACTTACCAGTATGAAGGCGATGGACCATATTTCCTTATCCCCTTTGTTGTGTAGTAACTGACGGTGGTACGTATTAAAGAATATAATTCCCCTATCAAATGAAATTATCTGTGAGAGCTGTTCAGTTCTCTCTGTATATCCTGCCTGCTACGCCGAAAAATTAGTTCCAAATACCAGAAAACAAATTTATTTTCTGCAACTCGTTTTCCAGAAGCCATTTCCCATCTTTACTAACGGACCCTTAGTGTGAAAATCAACTTCAAAGAGCCTCCAAAAACATGTCCAAATCCAGTTCTTCAACAACATCTTCTTCGCCTTTCATCAACTTGGTTAGCCTCAGAAGCTCCTCGCGAATCTCTTTAATCTCCGGATGCAACTGATCAGCAACCAGAAAAACATGAAACCTAGTCTTCACCTCAATCCAACTACACCCTGGTTCCTTGCTCACGCCGCGCTGACTCATCAAACGCCTTACCCTTTCCACATCCTCTCCCCTCCCAAGAGCTGAATAAATGCTCGACAACAGAACGTATGCGGATGACTCCAATGACCCCACCTCCATTAACTTCTCCCCGGCGTACGCTCCCAGCTCATAGTTTCTATAGTTCCGGCAAGCACTTAACAGTATACGCCACAAGCATTGCCCGTGGTCAAACGTGCAAGACAATATAAAGTCTTTGGCTTCGTTTAGTTTCCCCGCACGACCTAGGATGTCAACCATACAAGCGTGGTGCTCCAACTCGGGCTCTAGACCGAATTCATCAGACATCATCTTGAAGTATTCCCACCCCTTCTCTACCAACCCCATGTGGCTACAAGCAGAGAGAACGTTGACGAAGGTGACGTGATCCGGCTTTCTGCCGGACGTTTTTCGCATCTCCTCAAAAAGCTCGAGCGCTTCTATCCCGTGCCCGTTTTGGGAAAGGCCGGATATCATGGAGTTCCAGGAAGCGACATCTCGGTCCGGCATCATCTTGAAGACTAGGGTCCCGTCGTTGAGAGTCCCACACTTCGTATACATAGTTGCAAGGGCACTTCCGACAGGAACAGTGAGAGTCAGACCATATTTGACAGCGTGAGCGTGTAGCTGTTTTCCCTGCTCTAAAGAGGCAATGGATGAACATGCTCTTAGAACGCTCGACATGGTCAGGTCATTTGGTAATATGTCCTTTTTTCTCATCTGGCAATACATATTGATAGCGCTCTCGCTGTCCCCGTTTTGGACATACCCAGCCATCATTGAAGTCCACAGAACAATGTCTGTCTCTCCGAGACAATCAAACATGCGTTTAGCATCGCCAATCATTCCACACTTGGAGTACATGTCAACTAATGCTGTTATAATGTACATTTGAGACTCAAACCCTAACTTCCAAAGGAATCCATGGATCTGTCTTCCTTCAATGGATGCCTCGATGTCACTGCAAGCATTGAGGACTCCCACAAGAGTGTACTCACTAGGGATCACCCCACAATAATGCATTTCCGAAAACAACTTTAAAGCTCTCTCGCTACTTCCGTTCTGTGCATAACCAGTGACCATTGCAGACCAGGTGATAGATTCTTTGATATTTGAGGACTCGAATGCTTGACATGCATCATCCAAGCTTCCACACTTTGCATACATAGTGACCAAAGCATTTGCAACTGAAACAATAGATAACAATCCACTTTTAATTGAAAAAGAATGGATTTGCTTGCCAACATTCACGAATTCAGGTAATACGAGAGCGCTAAGAACACCGGTGAATGCAAACTCATTTGCTTCATTCTCGGATTCCAACATCATTTTAAAAATACACAAAGCTTCATCAGCACGCCTTAGTGAAGCGTACCCAGATATCATTGTGGCCCAAGACACCGCATTTTTGTCAGGCATTTCATCAAACACCCTATGGGCATCGCCAATATGCCCAATCTTACAGTACATATTCATCAACGAGCTCCCCACAAACACATCATCAAAAACACACAACTTAATGGCCAAACAATGAGCTTGCTGCCCAACAAATGTGTCGCCCAAATACGAAGCAGAAGAGAAAATGCCAGAAAAAGTATGGGAGTTCGGAACCACGTTTTGGTCCCTCATTTTCTTGAAGAGGTTGAGCACAGAAAAGAATGAGTCTTGGCGACCCAGTCGTGAGTAGCCACTGATGAGGCAGTTCCATGAGACAGTGTCTTTGTTACAGATGTCGTCAAATGCTCGATGGGCTTCTCGCAATAGGATGCACTTGGCATAGAAGTTAACAATGCTGTTAGAGAGATAAATGCAGGAAGAGGAACCGGTTTTGATGAGATGGCCATGGAGACATTTGCCTTTGGGAAGATTCCTCTCGTGGGTGTAATTAAGGATGGTTTTGAATAGGTGTTGATGTCTTGGTGTTAAGAGCGCGGTGACATGACTCATAAGGAAAACTGAGGAGAGGGGAAGAAGAATTTAGGAATTTGCCAGCTTACTTGGTTTCCGGTGATGACTGGTCGGCAAAATCCCATAGGTTTTGACCTGATGATGCCATCAAAATCCCAACTTAAAGCATTGCACAAAATATTTCAAAAGAAAAAACTAGATAGATCATTGAATAGTAAAAATACAAGCCATAAAACTCAATTGTCAAATACAAGTGTAACAAGCCAACAACAAACTGAGTAAAATCATCCTAAAAGTAGATAGGCTGTTTCCAAGAGACCCCGATTCAAACACGGTAGCACGGACAAAGTAAGAGCACAAGCACAAGAAGCACACATGCCAACACTAGCAACTAGACCCAAAGCACAGAAATTGCACAAGCACAAGCCACACACTTCAGGCTACGGCAAAGACACACCAGCATAAACTACAAACTAATGCCCAAGGATCTACTCAATTAACATAATCTTATATCTCCAGCCTCCAGGTGTTCATTCCTATCAAAGACCATGCCGGAAGATTCTGAAGTCATAAATTCTACCTAATCACCGCCTTCCATAGTTCCATCTCTTCTTAGATTTGCCTCGATCAATGAACTCAAATATCATTGAGTAGTAACTCCATTACCTGTGATATCTCTAACTTTATTTTCTTTATTTGAAATTTTCCTAGAAACACCATTACCTTCGTAGACTTCTTCATATCCTTCCTATTCATCATCATCAACAAGTTCATATCGAGAAACTCCAAGGAGGCGTACTATGTGTCCTTACATATCTCTATTTGAAACACACACACAATAGCTACTCTCTAATATTGGCTCCCGCGTCCCAGTGTACTCCTTAATTCATTAACTAGAACTAGACATATCATCATTCATCTAAAACAGTATGCTCCCTCTGGTTTTGTGTATCCTATTTTGCAATAGGTTGGACACTTCTTCTTCTTCTTCTTCTTTTTGTTTTTGAGGAAGGGCTGGACTCATGTTAATTACAAACTTACGGCTCAAATTTTGTAATACTTATACTGATACAAGTTTGTTCTCCATTAAATACATACATGCAAGTAAAAGATTCAACTTGAACTCCTCTGCTCCATTTTCCCAAATAGCCTTTTGAGAACTTTTATCAAGCACCTTATCAGCATATTCCAAATAATTGGGTGGGCAATCAAAATAAAACATGATTTTGCATTTGCAGGAATTGCACTTTATCAACATGCAGGTTAATCACAAACTTTTAACAACAAAAAAAGGGCATTCCTTAGGCTCTGATGTAAACAATATAGGGAAGCTGTATTTAATGCAAAGTTACAAACCAAAGAAACAAGTCCAAATTCAAACCAATCAATCAAATAAATCCATATTAATAAATTCAGACCCTAGCACTAATCCATGTAATTATCAAAGTCAAAACCAAATTCCAAAACAAGAGCATTTGCAAATAAGAAGAATGAGAACAATTACGCATTGTGAAAAACAAAAAATGTCAAAAAAAGAAAAAAACTTTAAACCGATTCCTGAACTTACAGATCGGCAAGAGACCGGACTACCGCAGTAGAGTGCAGTGGGCGTGATACATCTCTTGGCCGTACTGCCGTCTGTGAAGTGGACGCGGCAGGCCGTATGCAACCGGAGATGTGGACGACAACACCCTGAGAAGTGAACGCCGCTTGGCAGAAATAACACCTGCGGCTGGCGGCGGAGGAGCTACTGGCAGTAGCTTACCGCAGAGTATGTTCAATTTGCGGTTTGACCGATACGACCAATCCGTCAGCGGAGAAGACAAGGTGGAGGAGGGATTACTTAATTTGAGGTTATTTTACTCCTAACTTATTTTGTTACAGAAAAAAAAATAGACAATTTAAAAAAATTATTTGAATTTTGACGGTAATACTTAAAAAAATTAATTCCATTAGCATAAAATTTAATATAAATATATTTATTTTGAACATATTTTTGAAATATTATCCTATATAATTTTATTATTTTAGACTGTAATATACATTTGTATATTGATATTGACATATAGGGCCGGACCTGAGGGAGGTCGGGGAAGGCAACGGCCCTAAATTTAGGAGACCCCAAATATTTTAAGCATAGTGTTATGAGTAACCTAAAAATAATTTATTAAATCTAAAACGTACTTTCAACTCATACATCATATTAGAAGATAGAAAACTATTGTACAAGATTACTACTACTACTATATTCACACATTTCAATGTGAAATTACCAACACAATTCTCAACTAGTGTCACTTAGGATACTTTTTATCTTTTTTATTTATTAATTTTCCTTTTATACAAAACATTTATTGTTATACTTATTGTATTCAATTTTAATAAAAAAAAGTGTATTAATTGTAATTCTTGGTAAGACTCAATTTTTTCTTTCGCTCGGAGCCTAATAAATCTTAAGAACGGGCATGTTGATATAAGTGGTAAAAATATTTGAAAACAATAAAAAGTGAAATGAAAACCATTCTCAATCCAAGTTATGAAGATGCTAAAGATGACAAAATTAAGATTATAAATTTTTAACTTGTATTACTCTCATTTCAACATAAAATAGATACTTTCTTTTTGAAATACTACGAAAACTAAGTGAGAATGTTACGTTCAACATAAAATTGTGACGCATTAAAATAAGGTTGTAATTTGCTCTATAAAAATATTAAATAATTTACATTATTTTTCTCTTCTACATAGATTTAAATAATTTGCTCTATAATCTTAATTATACTTGAAAGTTAATAATCTCCTTGGTTTCATCATCAATTCACTTAGTTTTGCCTAAAAACACTTGGAAGTAATCTAGAATGGTGTAATGAACTAGTAAATACAAGTACATAAAAGTGAGTACATGGAACAAAACTTGAAAAAGAGCACCAAAGATTAGAGCAAAAGGCTCTTCTTACACATTAGGGAAGAAGAAGAAGAAAGAAAGAAAATCATACCAAGCCTACTCTGAGAGAAAGGGTAATAGTATTATCTGAAACAACATTTTTACAAACACAAGAGATATGAGGGAGAATCTTCATCACTCTGCAACTGCAATATGAGAGTTGTTAGGGAGGGTATAAATAGATCCGAGATGACGGTGATGATGGCAGTCAGGTAGCCCTCTTCCTTGGCTTTTTTTTGCATGCAATTACAACACTCTTTTATATCAATATAGCTTACCGCTCTTTAATGGACGCCAAACGTGACCAAATGTGTGCAAACAAGGTGTCCAAACACAGCCATCCGCCGTGGGTAGTTCGCCATGTATCTAAGGAATAAAAGAGACATATACTATATCATATTTGTCCAAGGACCAACCAAGTGAAGCAACTTACGAGTCGGTTTGGTAGATGTAAATATGCAATTCTTTGTGTGGCTGAATTATTGATTAACGTACTCAAGTCAGAATCTTATTGTCTACTTTTGAAAATAACTTCACCTTAAGAATTATGACACAAACAGGTCACTGCGCCTGTTCGTTAATTCATACTCCATGTAACTAAATATTTAAAATAATACTCAGTGCATGTGCTTGTTTTACCCTGAAGGGTATGTTGGGCAATTAGTGTAATTTTATTCTTTAAACATTGTAATTTGAGAACTAGTTCCCAAAAATGAAAGATGGTCAATTAAATTTTGATGGGAATATTTAAAATTTACTTTTTCTATAATCAAGAAGATGATGGAACTTAGAGGTTCGATTTCAGCCAAAAAGAAAACCCACTCATTAAGCAGTATTTTTTTCTGTGATAAACTATTTGTTGCAGTTAAAATATTGTGATTCTACTAAATACCAACTCAGGTAACAAAACCTGCAAAAAACACAATGAGATGATGCTATATATTTTCCCCATCTAAATGTACCCTACAAAAAATTCAGTTGAGGTTGTGTACCTTGATGGAATTGACTCATATAATCTTGTTCCTTATTTCTTCTAGCTTTTTCAAAATTTCTGCAGGGGTTCTGTCGAGCTCATCAGCAATTTTGCGCTGCAAGTCCAAAGGCAATGTTGGGAACTGTTCGCACAAGTCTCCATCAATGACATCCTGAGAGGAAAAGTCCATTCTTCATCATTAATACTTCGTAAACCATAATCCATAGAGTATGCTAACTGTATATTACTACACTACAATAGAAGCAAATTTTCATTAAATTTAAAGAAAGTTTCCCAAAAAAAGCATCTCAGATAAGTTTAGGATCAGCATGTTAAATTTAGTTGAACAAACTAACGATGTCAAAAAATGCTACTTAGATTGAAAATTTGTTGGCTTAACCAAGTTTAAAAGATTTACCTTGAAGAAACATGAATTTATTGTGACAGAGCTAAAACTTAAATTTAAATTTTAATAATCAGAATGCAAACATCAAAGTAAATCATTGACCCAAGTGAAAGCAACAGAGGACGTCCCAAATTAAGAAAGGTGAAAGTACAGTCTACCCCAGAGGCTTGTCTGGCCAAGATTCTACTCTTTTTTAAACAAGCATTGAGAAAATCAAGTTCTTATCTTCACACTTCACTTTGAAGGAAGAGTTTCAAATTGGCAGCTGAAAAATAAAGCCCCAGTTTGGCTAGTGGATTTGAGGAAGAAGGAAGGGGATGGTTGTTATTTATTTTACTGCTATATTCTTATATTTAAATGGTCAGAGAAAAAGACATGATGATAATTTTTAATAATAATGCATGATTTAACTATTTAGATACATCCTCCGTGCAACTTCATTGTCCACTTTTCCTCTTTAGGACATCTGGAATTACTTGTCCCCCTTAGCATATTTAGTAAAGAAAATCACATTAGTTCACCAAATGTCAGTAAGAGGCAAATTCATCACTAGGTAATTTCATTCACCATCGCCTCAATTGGTCTCCTTGTTATATTAAGAGGAACTTTACTATGTCGTTTTCAGTTCATTCATTTTTGTCATTTCAACATTATCCTTATATGAGAGATTTTGGTAAGTGGACAACTAAATTTGGATGGGGGGGAGTAGTTATTTTATTGTGTAAGACTAACAATTAGCTACATTAGTAAAACAAAATCAAGTCTCCACCTCCCCCAATCAGAGTAGAGTCCTTCTCTCAAGCATAAAGCAAGCAACAAATATTTGACAAAATCAATACTCATTAAATCAATGAGCAATGAGCAAGCACAAATCAATTATGTGATTGTTGTGCGATTACAAATAAATGTTGGTTAATGCTACGTATTATTTTACCTTGACTGGGAAATAGGCTGATCTGTAAGCCATGTGGTCCCTGCCACAGAGGGGTGGGTGCTCCTGCCTCAAATGCATCTCCAGATGGGAGAAGAAGTCAACTTCATCCCTAGAGGTAAATGGAAGCAATGCACCTACACTCCCCATAACAGTCCCATAGATGAGACATTCCTCACCCCCCGGGATAAGAGAAGCTCTTTGCAAGCAACTAACGACATCACCAACATGAAACTGCACAATCTCATCAACCTTGTTGGGAGCTCCATTCAGCTTACCCTGTTCCCATTTTATCTTCCCACCTGTTGGATCTTCTTCAATCTCATCCGACACATCCTGAGGCAAACGCACAAAATAGATGTTCCCAAACTTGTCTGCCCCTGCCATGGTGTCAAAGTCCACATGGCTTGCTGCAGTAAGCCATCTTGGAACAGTGTCATCGGCAAATATGTAAAGTTGGTTCTCATCACGACGGTATTTGCAATAATGGAATGACTGGAGAGAGAGAGAGAGAGAGAGATGCACAATGCATTAGAATGTACACAAGGAGAGCAAAAACAATGACAACAATAACAAGCCAGTAGAATCCCTCAAGCCCAAACCTCGTGGTTATCATGCAGAATAATAAAATATCAATATGAAATGGACATTACAATATCAAATATCATTAAGTCTCAACTCATCACAGTCTCATGATACTTCTCATTCATGTTGGAAATAATCTATGTATGATGATGCCGATTTTCAATTTTTAAAGTCACTATTCCTTCTTTAGAAAGTTCCAAGTCTTGCCTTCCATATGGAAGGTATATGGCAAACAATATTGTCAATAGGCTTTTTTGGGTGATTATGTAGTGCAAACTAATTTTTTGCAATTAAAGAGGGTGATAAGTTTAACGCCACTTTCCCCCCAACTAGTTAGTATTAAAATTAAGACGTTGTGTTGATGATAATGATGAAGATGATAATTTCCAAAATTATTGATTTAAGCACTACCCTCATGTTTAGCTTACTTTATTTAAAGTAGTCAACTAGTTTAAAAATTATTTATAATGTTAAATGTCTAAACATATAATTTAACGATGAACATCTTTTTAATATTTGCCATACCTCTTGCATATCACCAACATAAATGCGATCACGGTAGGTAGTAATAGATATTATAGTGTTGGGGAACAGCTTGTTCTCACACTTCCTTAGGAGTCTTTTCTTCCCCAAATCGTACAGCCTAAGAACAGATCCAACCCCAGCCAATAGCCTTCCTTGGAACTGACAAAGAGCAAGGGGAACCTCTTCCACCTGTGTCTTGTGCAAAAGCTCGAGTACTTTTCCATCTTCCTTAAATTTGTAAATATGTATGTATGCAGCTTCAAAGGACCGTTTGGGCAAAAACTGCAGTCCCTTTGTTGTACCAACAGCCAGAAGAGCTCCATGCTCCTTATCATGGAAGTTTACAGTACATATACTGAATGCCGCTTCATTATCCTGAAGTTCA